CCCCGAAGCAAACCCCGAAGCAAACCCCCGAAGCAAACCCCGAAGCATACCCCCAATCCAAACCTCCCGGGTTGCCCACGTTATTTCCGGAAATATCCTAAATGGGTCGCTGCACGATTGGATGCAAGAAAGTGCACATTGCAAGGATTGCCTGAGCTGGCCACGGATAAAGCTGGGCCGAGCGATGCACGAACACCCGGAGAATTGGCCGAGGCACGCGGGTCTTCTTCGGGCGCGGGGCATTCGGGTGAAGGTGCGTGCAGCCGGCACGCCTCCCAGCGAAACAGGGCTGTCGGGCGATCAGGTGCCGCTGCTGGAGCCAAAGGTGGGGCTGCTGCTGGAGCTGGAGCCGTTGTTGCTAGAGCTGCCGCCCAACTGGCGGGGGCCGCTGGTGGCGGGACAGCAAACGCGAGGTGCTGCAGGAGTGCGGAAGCCTCTGCTGCACCTAGCAAACACCGCAACAATGTTTCTGGCTGTGGCCGGAATGTGCCCACCAAGCAGAGTCAGCAGGTGCCACGCCCGTGGGAACTGGGCCAAGGTGGAAGCCGGAGGAAGCTTCTTGGGCGAGGGTGTGCACGAGGCGCGCCCCCGCTTTCGGGAGTGCCCGCCCATTGGCTGTAGATAGCTGCTGCAAGGTGTCGAGCGTGCTGACAAGGGTGTTGGGCGTGACTGGCCAAGCTTGCCGCAACGTTACGACGGCATGCTGCCACACGGCGGCAAACCGGGCGTCGGACTCCCGTGCTTCCTTGGCTTGAGGCGACAAGCAGCGAGCAGCCGCGTGCGATAAGGGAACGAAAAACTAAAAACCAAATGTGGGTTGGGGGAGCGCGCCGGAGGCCTCTGTTGGAACCAGGGGTCGGGCTCAGGCTCAGTGTCATGATTCGAGGGGGCAGGCACGGCTGCAACAAGTTCAGGCGGGCAAGCCAAGAAGTGTGGGGGCAAAGTCTCACAATGCGCATTCAAAGTTCGTCCTGACGCCAAGGTGTCACAGTACAGTACGCTGTTGCTACCTTGTGAGTTTCAGTGTGAAAAGTTGGAGCTCCGGTCTGCGTTTCACACAAAATGTTGCAGTTTGCCGTGGGTGGTGTTGAACTTTATGGGTACACCTGAACTCATGGCTTGCAACAAGGGTAGTGTCCTGCAGCTCGATGTACTGTCAATTGTGTTTGGTTCAAGCCTCCCTTTTTTTAGCTAAATAGGCAGTGCGTTATTGTGCTCTAGCCCTTCTTACAGAGTTGTCTGAGACCGCCACCGAGGAAAAAAATACAGAAGCCAGGGCTCTTGCACGGCTGTGATTTGGTTACAATCATCACCCAGCCCCCCCTTTACAGCACCTAAAACACAAACAACACAAAAGGCAAGACAAAAACAAAAAACATTTTTACCAGATTCCTGCTTCGCATCAGAATTTCGAATTTTTCCGCTTTTACACCGTTTCCCCGACTCCCTTTGATTCTGATGTTGCTTCGTGGGTCATTCTCCAGCAGGATAGGCTGTACCGGTATAATCCCATACGCCCTCCCTCCTCTGCATTGTTGCCTGCTACAAGCCTGTAAAAACAACACTGTATAACCCTAGGGGCACCACATTTTTCCTTGGCAGCTATTTGGCTCAGCCCTGCCTCATTGCACCCTCCGCTGACAGCAACAATGTTTGCCGCTTTTGCCGCCGTAACGTTGTCCATCATCGCCACTCCCGCGGGGACATGCAGCATGCCGACCTCGCTCACGGGTGCCCTCACTGATGGAACTAACCTGGATGGCGCAATTGATGTGGCCGTTTCGGGATCCTACGCGTATGTGGTCTCGTTTAACAACGACAGGCTGTCAGTTGTGGACATCTCTGATCCCACCAGCCCAACAATGGTGGGAGGCCTTGTGGACAACACCGACCTTCATGGTGCGCAAGCTGTCAAAGTTGTGGGCAATTATGCTTACGTTGCCGCCTACACCTCGGATTCTCTGGCCATCATCGATGTCAGCAACCCGACCAGCCCCTCGAAGGTGGGCAGCCTCAATACGTCACCCTCCGGTGACATGAATGGGGCTCATGGTTTAGATGTGGCTGGCAATTATGCTTACGTGGCCAGCAGGCTCAAGAGTTCCCTGACCATCATTGATGTTTCCGACAAAACCAACCCTACCAAAGTGGGCTACCTTTGGGACAGCCCGCGCTTTACTTGGGCCCGTGATGTCGCCGTCTCCGGCAACTACGCCTACGTGGTGGCATACTCACAATCCTATGTCGCCGTGGTGGATGTTAGTGATCCCACAAGCCCGGCCATTGTTGGTGAAGTGCAAGATACCACAAACATGGGTGGCGCTTGGGCAATTGCTTTGTCAGGAAACACTGCCTTTGTGACGGCCGCTTGGGTCTCATTGGTAACTATATTTCTTATAAACCAGCTTGGACGGAGTCCTAACCAATTCCTGGCCATAAGGGAGAATGGTACGTGCATGCTACATCACCAATCGTGCGTACGGGGCCGGCCAAACATGGAACCTTAAATAACTATGAGAAATATGTTTCAAATTTGGGTTGAGCAGCAATTTCAGGCTCAATCTAGCGACAACATCGTTTCGGTCGACATCTCCACGGCTGCCAGCCCTACCATCCAAGATTATCAGGGAGATGCGGCTCTAAACGACCTCCGCGCTTTGGCCGTGGACGGGTCAACGGCCTATGTGAGCTCCTATACCACACATTCCGTCGTGGCGGTGGACGTTTCAGATCCCTCAAGCACTTTGGATTTTGTTAACGCTGTTTGCATGCTGTATGGATTTACAAAAACTTTTAAGGTCTGAGACGTGTAGGTTAGTTCTGGGTCGTAGGCCGTACTTTCCTGGGGTAGGGGCAGGAGCAACAGCAGAGCCATACAGTTTTTTTTGGACATTTTTCTACCTTCATCGGATTGCAAACACCCTGGGACCCTAAGCCCTGAACCGAAAAAACCTTTAAACTCCGAACCCAGGCATGCAGGTGCAAGGTTCCATCACGGACTCCACAAACTTGAATAATGCCTTGGGCCTCACTGCGGCTCGGATACAAGGGTTTTAGGGTTTTTGGTAATGCATTGTCGGAAGGGAATTTGGCATTGGGGTCAGACACAGAAATTCTTGTAGAGACAGGCACTGTCGGAAAGGCTGTTCTTAGAACCTTTGGACCTGGTTTATTTTGAAGGGGGCCTCGAAAGCAATTGATGATGTAAATCCTGCATGGTTTACATAAATTCCACAAGCTAGACTGTTGGTACAGAAGGTCATTTAAAGTTTCAATCATCAGCACAACAAGTTCCCTTTAAGGGTTTCTCGTGTCCGGTAATTTGGGCATCCACCTCCGTTCCTCTAAACGTGTCCCAGAATTACCGCATTGGCAAATCCTATTCCTGACGGCCCAGTCCATGTCTCAGCAGTCCATGCATGGGCGACCACATGTTTCAGGACAAGGTAGTTGTGATCACGTTGAGGGCTCGAAGCCTAGTGCCAGGTTGACAGCAACTATGTCTACGTGGTGGCCGACACCAAGCTAGTAATCATGGACAAGTGCATGGCATCGTCTACATCAACTTCATCCCGATCGACATCCACATCTGTGTCCACGACCGACTCAACACAGACAGTGACGTCAACATCTTCCACTTCGGGATCATCCACGTGGACCTCATCTACTACTGGATCATCCACGTCATCTACTTCGGCGTCATCCACTTTAACCTCATCTACTTCGGGATCATCCACATCATCTACTTCGGGATCATCCACGTTGACCTCATCTACGTCATCTACTTCGGGATCATCCACTTTAACCTCATCTACTTCGGGATCATCCACATCATCCACTTCGGGATCATCCACCTTGACCTCATCCACTTCGGGATCATCCACGTTGACATCATCCACGATGATTTCATCCACTTCGGCATCGTCCACGTTGACCTCATCCACGATGATTTCATCCACTTCGGCATCGTCCACGTTGACCTCATCCACTTCGGGATCATCAACGTTGGCCTCATCCGTTTTGGAATCAACAACCACTGTGGTTCAGGACTTGCTTGAAGGAGATGGCGCGGATAGTGCAACCTTTGACACCCCACTCTTTTTGCTAGTTGTCGGCGCTGTGATCGTTGTGGTTGGCCTCGTTCTCCTTGGCTGTTGGCAGTTGTCGCGCCAGGCACCGGAGGGCAACAGTTCCCAGCCGCCAGATGAGGTGAGAGTTTGACCTGAGATTTTAAGCCAAGTAGGTTTCTCAAAGTTGGGGTTCCCTGTGTTGCCCCATTATTTGTAATCGTATTACAATGACACGAAAAAAGAAACGCATAATTTTGAGAAGCCCCATGGCTTCAAAGCTTGGTAAAGAAGCCAGGCGGACAGTGTCCTCGAAAGATGACTGTATCCTAGGTGGTGGCCGCAGTTGCAACTCAAAGCTCTCTCTTTTGCAAGAACCAGAACACCATAGAGCACTTAGGCGTTGAAACAAGGTCACGGTTGACTGCAAACCTCGTGTTCACAGTGTTACAGTGAGCAGGGTGCAGTCATTCGCGGCCGTTTTTTGCAATTATCGTGATAAGGCACGAATTTGCTCCCCAGATCGGGTGTCGTTTTGCTGTTGGTTATCCAAGCACTTTCCGCACTCCACATCCAGGGGCATATGCAAAGATAACATGAATGCACTTGTAAAATGAACCTTACCGTGGCTCAGGCAAGCATTTGGATGCGCAGCTCGTAAGCAGACCGGTTGGGGTGTCATGGATGTTCGGTGAACATGGATGTGTGAGTAGCATGTGACACCAGATATTCACGGATAGCATAACTGCGCTGGCAGCATGCGTCATCCTGAATGAACCACCAGGTAACCACCAGGTGCTTGACCAACATGCCTCCTGAAGATCCAACCCGTCGAGACCATACAGCAAAGGAAAAAGAGAGAGCATTGGGTTCCTGGTTGGTAAGGATTCAAAAATCACCTCTCTTGCAGGCACCTTTCTTTGCCCGGCTACGCTTCAAATGGCGTCAGCGGGTGCGCAGGGGCTTGCAGCTGGGAAGTCCCATGTGTCAGACACAGCGGAAAGACCCCACATAACCCCAAACGCTAAACCCTGAAAGAGCACGTGTGTGAGCCAATTGGCGAATTCCCAGAAGTGTTTTCCCAGCGGGCCTCCCAAAGGGACGGCTGCTGTAGGGATCAATGCCTGGCAGAGAGAGGTGTACACGGAGACTTGTTTGAGAAGAAGGTATGGCTTGCTGGCTATGTTTGCGATGACATCTCAAAACCATCATATTCATAGTATGAGTCCCTCTGAAGGAGTTTCCGCAAAATTGATTCCAACACAGTAGAATCCGTATTATGAGGGCCCCAACGAACATGATTACATCTGAAGTCATCAGAAACGCCATATCCGACTTGCAAGCTGTATCCCTAAAGTCCTGAAGTGCACGATTTTCCCTTGGTTGGGGACAGGAACTTAGACAAGCTCCACACGCTGGAATGGTCCGTGTGCTGAGTGAAAAGCCATGGACTGCAAGTCTGTAATTTGGGCGTCGGGTTCAGGCCTCGATAGAGTTCAGGCCCCAAGAAGAGGATAGGTCAACTTCGCGTCACTAGACCAGACATGTGCTGCTTGTCATTTTAAACGCAGGGAAATCTGGACATGACAGATGACTCGTGGCTACGTCGTGTTTGAAATTTCTTCCATCAATACTGGGAAGTGGACCAGAGAAATGAACGTGCTACACACATCATTTCCCGTTTTCTTTCCCACTGTTAAGGGCAAAGAAAGTAGAGAGGGTTTGGGCAGTTGCAGAAAAGATGAGGTTAAGATACCAAAGTGGGATTTTTCAACACCACCAAGCTGCTTGTTTTTCAAACTGGTTGCCAGGCCGATACAACCACAAGTATGGATCAAAAAGAAAGGCATAAAATGAGGATACCCCAGGGACATGCAAGGGGCTCTGGGGCGCCTCTTTGTTAAGCGTTGTGTCAGGATTCCAGCTGTTCCAGGCGAATGCAAGTTCGATGTTTCTTGCCAAGGATGGGAGTTGCAATGTTTCAAGACTGCATCTTCCCTGACTGTGGCACCTGGGGTGCGGTGTCCAGAGCAAAGAAGCCCAGCAAAGTTATGTTGGAAAAAGCAGTATCTGGTAGCTGTGCGCGACCAAGCCGCTCCCGGTAGCCGTTGTTGGCAGCAGCCAGGCTTGCGAATCGGGGTGTTTTCGTCAGGTACGCCTAGTTCCAGGAATAGCAGGTAGCACGGGCAGCCAAGGAGGCGCCACAACCGCATGTAACTATCTTGGTCGGTGACCTGGCACACCGCCACATGAGCAGAACCTTGTGGAGGTCTGGCTCGGCTAGGGCGTTCTCGCAAAAATGCCCGTGACTCACATGCCCAACTCCCTGCAGGATTGATTTTCGTCAAGTGCAGCATTCAGCAATGGAAAGCGATAGGATTGCTTGTATGCTCAGGGCGCTGACGTGCTTGCAATCTGAATTGGTTGTAAGCGCAAACAGCAACTTGACCGATGATTTGGCGGAACTGTTGTGCAAGCTGCTTTGAACAATTTTTCTGCCAAGTGATGGGCACGCCCTGTGCACAAATACGATGGGGCATAAGCTCCGCAACGAGCCCGAAGACGTCTGAGGGGCATGCAATGCCAACATCTTCACGTCCGATTCACTTGGTGTTCAAAACGCTGGCCATACCACATCCCTTGTCAGATGAAGCCTCCAAATGGTCAGGATGAACAATCCCACCCACGAGATGTTGGTCATGTTGGTCTTCTGATTGACTGTAAAGAGCAAGCGGCCGTGAGCATGACTGCATGGAAGTGGGTGAAATTGGTGACTGCTTTGGAGCGGAAGCTCTTGCGCCAGTCTGGCTTCTGCTTTTTGGCTGCGGGCGCCCGCGCTCACCGAGACATCCAGTCGTCGCGATGCCAAAAGCTACAATCCCCGCTTCAGAACTAAAATCCCCTATTCGGAAACTAGAATCCCCGATTAAGAAACTACAAATCCCAGATACAGAAAACTAAGCTGAAACTACACTCGTCGAAGTCATGGGGAGGGGGGTGAGGCTTCGGAGGGGCACTAGTCCCTGCTACAACCAGATGATTATTCCCAAGGCTCAGGGCATGAAAAAAAAGACAAGGCCCAGCCATAATACTTAGCCAGAACTATTCCCAAATTTCAAGTAATAACAAGGAAACCAAATCAAGGTACCTTGCTATGACTATGCCCAAGTATCAGGCTATGCATGGCGGGGCATGAGACAAGGCCAGATGATACCACTTAGGCATGACGATTCCCGAATTTCAGGGTACAAGGCACCAGAAAAGGCCAAATCATAATACTTAGCTATAAAGATTCCCAGGTTTTTGAACCTTGCCTGGTTCCTGATCACGAGATGTAGAAAGACGTCCAACTAGCAAGAATCTCTCTCCAAGGGTCCGAACCCAGAGCTTCGAACCCAAACTAACCCTCGAACAACTTATAAAATCCAAAACATTGTCGACCATTTCTTAAACCCTGACTCTGCTCCAGCTCCTGTTCCATTCAAGAGCCTGATGCCTTTTGTTACACCCTGGCCCTGGTCTTGTTCCACTCGCTTCCCTCATCCGGAAACCGCAAGCCGCGGAGCAAGAACCTTCCAAGAACACACCCCCCAAGAACCCCCTCCAAAAGCTCTGCAGCAACACCCCTCCAGCACCATGGCAAGAGCAGCATTCCAAGAGCACTCCAAGAGCAGCCCTCCAGCATTCCAAGAGCAGCATTCCAAGAGCGCCCCTCCAGCAGCATTCCAAGCTCACCCCTCCAGCAGCATTCCAAGATCAAAAGCTCTCTAAGCGCAGCATTCCAGCATACGTTAAATGTCCTGGGTGCATCTCGTGGTAAACTGATTATGCGTGGTTCTGGTTGCAGTAGGGTCCGGTTTCGTGATCTTTGGGGCCGGTTGTGATAGGGTCTACTTTTCAGTTGTAGCAGGGACCATTTGGTTGTGGTATAGGACTTCTGGTTGTAGTAGGGACTATATCCGGGCGGGGTGGGGGGTCATTTCTTGCCTTCCGAACCAGGGGTTATAGTTTCCGAATCAGAGTCTTTTCCTTTTTTGAATCAGGGCTTTTAGTTCTGAATCAGGGCGTGACCGGTACCTGACAGGATGCTGGGTGGATGCATAAAGGTATGCGGAGAAAAACAAAAGGTGTTTCCAGCTGTGTAAGTAGAGCCAGGCTAGTGCCACAACCACAAGGTTTGCAGTGCTTTGGTGTGAGTCGCGCAGAGGGACGCGCGTTTGCCCAAAAGCCATGCAAGGCGGCAACCGGCTTGTGCCATGATGTACTAACAAGGAGGGCATCCGCTCTGTAGACGTTATGGGACGCAAGTAAGTCGGGGATATACCTTGCTGGGATCACCATACATACAACTTGTTCCGGTCAGCGCGTGGGATTTTTTAAAAGCTTTGTTTTGGTACTGTTTTGGGGAGTGTCAGCATTCAAGACATGAGCCTGACCGCTAGGCTGCGTCGCCCCTGGGGTGAATGATTCCCATATCATTCCGAGGCCAAGGTATGGCCGACGAAATGCTTACCAGCATTGAAACACAGCTTTTCTTCTTTGCCCAGACCGCAGCTTTTCACGGCACATCAATCCGTCATTCCAGCCTTCCTGCGGAGCACAGTTGGCAGGCATTGCACATATCATTATAGCGTTTAGAAGCGCTTTGCTGCATGGGAGTGTCAGCAGGCCTCAGTTGTCGTGGGGACTGTCGGGGATTGGATGGGTGTGCATACGCATGACCTTGCCCGACAGCATGCTGGGGTGCAGGTCGGACGTCAACACAACAAGCTGATCGTGGTGCAGATTGCGCTGCATGCCAGGCGGTTGACCATGGAAGCACAAAGCATGGTGTTTGCTCAACTTGCGGCATTAACTCAGGCGGCGAATAGCAAACCGTCGCGCCCGCCGAATCGTGAGCAGATCGGGTCGTGGCCTTTGTTTGATGGCCAGCAAGACGACATCATGTGTCACATTGAGGCGTGCCGCTTGGCGTTATGTTCACTGCATGGCAGCCAATTTTCCCGAAACCCCGGACGTCCCGGACCAGGCGGGTGGCAAGCATGCGCCGGGCAGCGTACCGTAGCATGCGGCAATTCCCGCGCAGGTGGCAGCGCTGACGTGGTTGCGGGCATTCCTGAAGTTGTACCCATGCCACATCTGTGCTGATGCAGC